TATCTATCTATCTATCTATCTATCTATCTATCTATCTATCTATCTATCTATCTATCTATCTATCTATCTATCTATCTATCTATCTATCTATCTATCTATCTATCTATCTATCTATCTATCTATCTATCTATCTATCTATCTATCTATCTATCTATCTATCTATCTATCTATCTATCTATCTATCTATCTATCTATCTATCTATCTATCTATCTATCTATCTATCTATTTATTTATGTTCATTTGACCAGAGAGGAACAGAGAAAGAGAGAGAAAGTGAAAAAGCAAGCTGCCAGTCAGGCCTGGGACTCAAACCACAGTCAGCCATGTGGGACTCCAGCACCCTTAACCACCACACCACCTGCTGGCCCCCTGACATAGTATCTTAACCTAGACCTTATACTTTGTTATTTAATGATCCCAGAATTTAAAAAAAATACAAGGCTTCCTATATGGTTTTACTTTAGGATTTTTATGATGGGTTTATTATAGCTTTATTTAAAAAAAGTTTAAATTAATTGATGTCCCATTCTCATTTTTTGTAGATTCTTCTGCTTTTTATTTACTTTTTACTAGCCACTTTGATAAAATAACACCTAATATACAATAATTTTGAAACTATTTAGTAATTAGTACTTCCTTTTAAGAGACTTAAGGAAAAGATTTTTTTTCCTAAAATGTTTTGGTTGGTTAAATGTTTTAAGACTGATGATAAAGATCGAAATGAAAACATTTTTTGTTTTTGTTTTGTGTGCACATGTGTTTTTTTAGAGGTTTTTGTCTTAGGGTGTGAGCACCCGCCAGAGAGAGACAGAGACAGACACAGTGAGAGGGAAAGTGAGAAATAACCCCTCAGGAGGAATGGTCATGCTGCAATCCCCTCTTTCCATTATCCTTCCAGGATCATGGGCACACATGCCTAGGAGTGATTTTCAAGCCACCTATTCCAGGACTCAAACCGCAGTCAGCCATGTAGGAGTCCAGTGACATAACCACTATGCCACCTGCTGGCCCTCATGGTATTTTTTTAATAGCAACCTCGATGGACTAAGACAATGGCCTTACACATGTAAGAAACAAATCCTGTGCCAAGCAGCAAATGATGAGCTACCTCTTATGCTTTCATTCCTGGCAACTGATCCCTTCACAGGCCTCCTGCTCCTGACCATCTGACAGTTTTTGTTCTTTTGCTCCTAAGACTTGAAAGATTGTTTGGCCCTGGGCACAGTTTCCTTACACATAGTCCCAGGTGGGATTTATGGTTTTTCTCCTAGCCCAATCTATAGATAACCTTCTGTTTGATACAAGGACCAAATCAGAATTGATGGGACCTGTCTTACAGCCCAAGAACCCAAGTGATACACTCGATCCCTGGAGGCTAACTGTAGCGAGTTTATAATCCTTAGGGCAGAAAATAATCATGGAGTTGGAGAGAAGTACATAGGTGTGGACTCAGCCTATCAGGCTTCTCTCTTTTTTTTTTTTTTTTTTTGGAGAGGTTTTTGCTATAGGGTGCGTGCGCTTGCCAGACAGAGAGAGAGAGAGAGAGACAGAAAGCGAGAAATCACCCCCTAGGGGGGATGGCCACGCCACAATCCCTTCTCCTCCATTCTCCTCTTGGGATCTTGGGCAGGCATGCACACACGCCCGGTGTGAGTTTTAAGCCACCGGGTCCGGGATGCGAACCATGGTCGACTACATGGGAGTCCAGCAACATAGCCGTTACGCTAACTGCTGGTCCCAGCCCATCAGGCTACTATGTGGAAAGCTCTGCATTGCTATGAATTACAACAACTTTTGGTTTTCCACCACATACTGTATATCACTGAAACATGAGAGTAGACATTTGATAGCTGAGACAAAAGCAGTCTTGAACTTGATCACTTGGAGAATGCAAGGCTGCCTTCTCATGTCTTCTTGGGAGTAAGCACATTCAGCTGGAGAATGTCTACATGGGAGTCCAGATATATCATTCGCAGCACCAGTTCAGAGGTATTCTGATACACAAATAAAAATGCATTTCTTTAGTTAGAAAACATATGCTTTGATGGATAGTATAGGGATAGATATTTGCAGGACTTCATGAGGATTTAAATGTTGACTCTTCATTTAAATGAGTATTACTTTGAGAAAGGTCCTTGACCTCGCCAAGTCTCAGTTTTCTCATCAATGAAATGAGAATTATGTGATTATTACACATGTATGTATCCCAAGCATCATATGACTATTTTAAAAATAAAATGAGACAATATGGAAAGTGTTAACTAAAGTTCTTTATGTATTATAAATACTCAAAGAATGGCAACTGTTTTCTCTTGTCCTTCCTATCCCCTTTGAATTCACATAAGTTAGAACTTGACAGCTATGTGAAATGCCTTTGTAACTGCTGGAGAATTATAAAGACTTTTTTTTTTAAAACTAGTAGAGTGTTTGTCTCCCTTTATGACTGGTTTGTGTGGAGGGCAGAGGCCCATTTCCCAGGTTTACTACTTAAAAGACACCTTAATCCTCTTCCTCAAGGTTTCTTTATAGACTGCTGATGAGAATCAGTGCTCCCCACAAGGAAAAAAAATCTTTTCTGTAAATCTGTAAATAGAGCTGAATGGATTTTCTTTTCTTTGGAGAGAGTTCTTTTTGTTTGTTTGTCTGTTTGTTTGTTTTTCATGCACTCGCCAGAGAGACAGAGTGATATAAAGTGAAAAATCAGTTCCTGGGGGGATGGTCACACCATAATCCCTTCTCCATTCTCTTCTTGGAATTTTGGGCACACACGCCCAGCATGAATTTTAAGCTGCCAGGTCCCGGACTCGAACAGTCAACCATATGAGAGTTCAATGACATAATCATTATACCATCTGCTGGTCCCATGAGTGAATTTTCTTTTCTTTCTTTTTTTTCTTTCTTTCTTTTTTCTTTTCTTTTCTTTTTTTTTTTTTTGAGAGGTTTTTGCTGTAGGGTGCATTGCTTACCAGAAAGACATAGAGAGACAGAGAGACAGAAAGTGAGAAATCGTCCCCCAGGGGAGATGGTCACACCACAATCCCTTCTCCTCCATTCTCCTCTCAGGATCTTGGGCATGCACACACACGTGCCCAGTGTGAGTTTAAGTCCCTGGGTCCAGGGCTCAAACCCGGTCAACTACATGGGAGTCCAGCGACATAGCCATTATGCCAACTGCTGGTCTCTGGATTTTCTTAAGAAGGCAAATTTGTCCTACATACTTGAGTAGAATCACTCTGTCGTCTTTCACAATGATGGAGTACAGACAGTGTACGTCGTTGGGGTAGCCTGCATACGAGTAGGCAGGGCTGTTGATGAGGCCACTGGAGAAGTTGAACACACCCCCGCAGGCTGCAACAGAAGACAAAGGGATATGCAGAGCGCAATGACAACTCTCAGCATGGGAAAATCATTTTGAGATATTCTAGATTATTAGGTAATTGGACAAGTCATGACACATTTTTGCATATGTCATGACTTCTCCAATGATCCAATATTGATTTATATGATTTCCTGAAGAAAGATAAATTATTTTTCTTGAAGTAATTTAAACCTAAATTCATTATGTTTATAAATAATACTGATTTTTTTCCCCCACTGGGAAGGAAAATAAGTGCTAATAAGGAATAAAAGCAGGGAAGAGTATTTTAAGGCAATCTTGGAAAGAAGTAAGTTTGCGTCAAATAATGGTCAGAGTATAAAGGATGAGAACAAAGATTTCATGTGTTGGGGTGAAACTGTCCCTTCCCTGTTTAACTGACATACTGGGAACAGAAGACAGTGAGCACTGAAAGTTCTGAAAAGCCTGGTAAACTCCAAGGCATATTCTGAGAATACAGACCTAGAAAAGACTGTGATGCAGAAATCTTAAACAACTCAGACTGAAGTCTGAGTCAGAATGAAGTCTCCTCATTCAGGGACAGAATAGGATAAGAAGTATTGGAAACAATTTTTGGAATTTCAAGTTTAGTTCTCTGTGTGGGCTCAAATACATAGCTCTTAAATCCTATCTACTTATATGTAGGTATGAGAATGGTAAAGACTATACTTGTTCAAATGTGTAGGTTTTTAAAGTTTATTTCTTTCTTCCACGGGAGAGAGACAGAGAGAGAGAGAGAAAGTGGCACTCCCAATATGGGTTTCATGCCACAATTCACCCCAGGATCAGCGAGCCAGGCATGGGCACATGTGCATGTGCCAGTAAGTACAGGGAGGCTCCAAGAGGTGAACCCAGAACTTGCCCATGTGGGTCTGGTTTTGTTCCTGCTGCACCACCATCTGGCTTTAGACTTCTATGACTCTTCCTCAGTAAGCATCAAGTAGTTAGGCTTACTCTCTATCCTGATTCCAACAACTAAAAGCCCAGGCCCTTAGTTATTCCCATTGGCCAATAGAACAACAGCCATACAAATATAATAAAGGCCCATGATGAAATAAAATAACTGTTTTTGCTTAGGTTTACATTTGAAGAAGATCAGATTGTACCAACTAATGATGGCAAGTATTCCACCCTCACTGCCTTGAGAAAGGCCTATACAGACTCAGTTTATGGTTCTGAAATTATAATGGGGCTAGTATGCATTGATTTTTATGGTTTATATACTAACAATGAACATGTTTCATGTACATCTCTTAGAAAGGACAGACTATGGTTGTCAATTAAGATTCTTTCTCTCTCTCTTTAATCCGCCTCCCTCCTTCTCTTTCCTTCTCTTTCTTCCTCTCTCAATCTTTTCCTGCCTTCCTCCTTTTCTGCCTTGTTTTTGCCTCAGCTGAGCCCACTTTGCAGGGAAAGCTCTTCTCCATGTGCCAGTAAGTATTCATGTGCTCAGATCCCAGGGTACAGCTGTAGTGAATCAAATGTCAGCGTTGGTAGCAATTATTCTATTTTGTTTTATACACAGTTACATCATCTCCGGCATTTACCAATGCCTACATAACTCCCATCTTTCTATATTGTCAGAATTTGGAGTATGAATATCTGCAACATTTAAAAATGGGTCTCTCACACTAGCTCTATTAAACCTTGCATACTGTGTTTAGGAAAATGAGGGATTAAAAATTAGAAGATTGGGGCCAGCAGTTGGCATAATGGCTATGTCACTGGACTCCCATGTAGTCAGCCGTGGTTAGTCTGGACCTGCTGGCTTAAGCTTACGCAGGGCATATGTGCGTGTGTGCCCAAGATCTGAGAGGAGAATGGAGGAGAAGGGATAGCGGCATGGCCATCCCCCCGGGGGGATGATTTCTTGCTTTCTGTCTCTCTGTCTCTCTGGAAAATCTCTCCAAAAAAAAAAAAGAAGAAAGAAAGAAAGTAGAAGATTATAATGCAGGAGTCTAAATCTCCAAAACAGAAGTTGATCTAGAGAATAAAACAAAACCCACTCTTCTCTTTATTTAACAAGACAATGGGGAAAGTAATGTTAACTGCTCAGCCCTATTCTGTTTGTGCCAACTGACCTACAGAACCATATAGAATCATATTAATATTTTAAAATGTTAGATGAGGATTCAGATAGGAGCCCATGTGAACAAATTATAAAACCCCTTTTCACAGGTAAATAGCCTTTTTCGTGGTTGGAAGCAGTAGTTTATTTGAAGGGAAAGCATTTACGTTTTTACCTTTAGCAATGGGTTTGGTCAAGGGAAGACAAAGAATACCAAGAAAATTTTACAAGATTTGTGTCACAGAAGTTGGTATGCAGTGGGAAGAACGCTATCAGTCAACTAACCAACAGGAGAGGAAAAGAGTATTCCAGACAGGGCAATAGAATCTTGAGGTTTCCTCAGTAGGCACAAAGGCTTTTGTCCAGTTTGTGGTTTCTCTTTTCTTTTGCCTTTAGCATAGAGAAATCATAAATTATGACATAGTTAAATATCTCAACCTTTTAGTTTCCTCTGGGGCTTGTACTTTCTTCATATTGTTTAAAAAACCTTTCCTTTTGGAAGACTATTAAGATATTCTCTTATATTTCTTTAAATTTATAAAATATGATTTTTTTTATTAGTAAAGTGACTTGAAAAATCAAATCAGACATCTGGATAATTCACCCAAAGTCACCTTTATGTAACGTATGAACAACTAAAACTAGGAGGAGAGGTCATTGTAGCTTAAATGACAATATAAATCTCAATTTGATTTTTTTTTTAAGAATTATTTTATTTAACTTTTAAAATTTATATTTAAATTTGACCAGAGAGGGACAGAGAGAGAAAAAAGAGAGAAAGAGAGAGGGAAAGTGAGAAAGCAAGCCACCAGGTCAGGACTCGAACTGTGGTTAGCCATGTGGGAGTCCAGCACCCTTAACCACCATGCCACCTGCCAGCCCCAAATTCTTCATTTGATTTTCAAAGAGTAGTTCAAGTCAAATTTCATGAGAAAGGTTCCTCTGTACCAACAGTCTGTACAGAAAAATGTCTAAGTATTTTTGTACCACACACCTCACTGACCATTGTTTGAAGTGTCTGAATCTTCAAATTGTGATGTATGAATCACTATGAAAAATCCTTGCATGAATTACTCAAGATAAAATAAATTCCGAACTATATCATTAGACTACTTACAGGTTATCCGATAGGAAAACTTGAATCCGAAGTCTGTGACGTGCGCGTTAGAGTAGAAGTTAAGGAGCATGGGACCAGTGACGGAGAGAGGGCTCAGGGTCTCGTCACCACACACGGTGGCAAGGGGTGTGGAAGATAAGTTGCTGCCCTTGATAATGTGCACCCCATCACTGTCACAACTTCCGGTTATGGCTGAACGAGCTGTGTGCAGAACACAGAACAGCCAGTATTATGATCAGAAACAACACAATGTCATAACAAAGAAAACATTATTGTAGTCCTTGCAATTTATATAGCAATGTACGTGAAAATCTAGAGACATTTTGGAGAGTTGATGTTTACCTTTCTCTCCCCACATTTACTCCAGTTACAAAACAAGGACAGGCATGAGAAAACCAGTAGAACTTCATAATAATAATAATAATAATCCTACTTTAAAACAATCTAGAATATTCTTCTCTTATAAAACAGTGCCTTTCATTCAATGATTATAAACTGGAGACAGTTTTGCCTCCAGGGGACATTAGGAAACATCTGCAGACATGTTTTGCTGTCCCGTTGGGCAGTGGCATAGAGGCCAAGGATGTGGCACATACACTGCAACGTCAGCTCCCATGCCCCACACCTCCGCCCTCATTCCTGCCCCTGCCACAGAAAACTGCCTGGCCGAAAATCTCAGTGGTGCTGCTACTGAGAAAACTTGCTCCAAGCTCCTGTATGGGTGAGAGACTCCTATCATGGCTACCATGGAGAGATCATTAGACATTCCTTACTGCTTATTGAACAACCATTTAAAATATACAGATAAACTATATTAACTTAAGGGTTTAGTGATTGTAAAACACAAAAATATCATTGTTTGTGTTCTAATTATAGACAAATACATATTCTAAGCTCTTTTTCCCCCCAAAGAAAAATATAAAACAGATTAAATAAGAAACTAAAAGGACTCTTACTATTGTAATGTATCTACTCATTTTTAGAGGTGAATATATATTGTTAAAACATTAATCACAATCATACTGAGTATAGTTTTTTTTTAATAATTATTTTATTTAACTTTATTTATTTATTTGTTTATTTTAATTTTACCAGAGAGGGACAGAGTAAGAGAGAGAGAGAGAGAAAGTGAGAAAGCAAGCTGCCAGGTCTGGTACTTGAACCGTAGTTGGTCACGTAGGAGTCCAGATCCCCTAACAACCATGCCACCTGCCAGCCTCGAGTCGTCTTTTGTAATCTAATTTTTTTTTAATTTTTTTTTTTTTTTTTGCCATAGGGCATGTGCGCACACCTGAGAGACAGAGAGAGACAGTGCAAGGGAAAGTGAGAACTCATCCCCTAAGGAGGATGGCCACACTGCAATCACTTCTCTTTCATTTCCCTCCTGGGATTTTGGGGGCGCACACACACACACACACACACACACACACACACACACACACCAGGCATGGGTTTCAAGACTCTGGGTTTGGTACTCAAACTGCAGTAGGCCATGTGAGAGCCCAGCACCTTACCCACCACACTACCTGAGGGCACCATAACCTAATTTTTACTAGCATAAAATAAAATAATGCGACTTTATGTGATTAAATATTTTTAAATATTGTAAATTCCAATTTATATATATGCCATTCTGTTTATTTGATAACCTATCATTCTATCATCTTCGCTAGAATCCCAAAATACTCAGACAAGGGACCAGCAGTTGGTGTAATGACTATGTCGCTGGACTCCTATATAGTCGACTGTGGTTCGAGTCCCAGATCTGGCGGCTTAAGCTCACGCTGGGCGCATGTGCGTGCATGCCCGAGATCCCGAGAGGAGAACGGAGGAGAAGGGATTGCAGTGTGGCCTTCCCCCTTAGGGGGTGATTTCTCGCTTTCTGTCTCTCTCTGTCTTTCTGGTGAGCGCATGTGCCCTATAGCAAAACCTCTCCAAAAAAAAAAAAAAAAAAAAACAGAAAAGAAAAAGAAGAGAAAAGAAAAGAAAGAAAGAAAGAAATATTCAGACAAGAAGCCACTTTAAAGCCAAAGTGTGTCCTGGCCTGTTCAGGGAAGCTATGCTTTAAACACCATCTTCTAGAACCTTACTTTCCCACTCTAAGCTTCACTCTCCATGCACTGAATGTCTAGGTAGGCCTTTGTGCACAGTAGCCACATCTCGATACTTTTAGAGTCTTTGAAATCTTCAACACTTGTTGAATCTCCTACTTTAAGGAAGAAATTTATTTTTATAAATCTGAACTACTAATCTCTTTCTGTGGACACTACATTGCCGAGCACAGTGCAGGAGAGATTTTTGTCACAGAATGACCAGAAGCCATCACAGCGGCACAAGAAACATGACAAGCCAAGAAATATCTCTTCCCTAGGGGAGAAGAACAATCCCTCATCATCCATAGACGGTACAGTTGAACTCTTGGAAATATATGATAGAGAATTCAGAATATTCCTAGTGACAAAACTAAACAACATACAAGAGCTGAGAGATACTGAACTCCAGAAGATGCAGGAGAATAGGGACGAGTACCAGGAGGTGTTGAAGTTCTTCCATGACCTGAAAGAAGAAATACACACCATACAAAAGAGTAAAATGGAACTATTATAGATGAAAGCTGCTGTTCAGGAAATCAAAACCTCCCTCAAAAGTATTAAAAGCAGATTAGTCCATGCAGAAAATCAAATTTCAGATGTTGAAGGCAAAACCTCTTATCTAGAAAAAACAACCAAAAAAACTGAGAAAATAACCCAGAAAAATGAGAATACTGTACAAGAAATACTACACAGAATTAAGTACTCAAACATCTGGATAATTGGTATCCTAGAAGGTGAGGAAACTAATAAGGGCATTGACAATCTATTCCATGAAATCTTTGAAGAAAATTTTCTGTATCTAGAGAGGCATTCAAACAACCAGACTCAAGAACTACAAAGGACCCCAGATAGAATCAACCCAAGAAGATCTTCTCCAAGGCACATCATAGCCAGACTGGCCAAATCTACAAAGACAAGATACTAAAATTGGCAGGAAAGAAATGTCAGGCTACTTATAAAGGTTATCCAATCAGGCTAACCTCAGACCTCTCATAAGAAACAATGCAAGCAAGGAAAGAATGAGAAAATATATTCAGTGTTAAGTGAAAAACAATTTCAACCAAGAATACTATACCTGGCAAGACTATCTTCCATATGGAAAGAAAGGATAAAAACATTCTCAGATAAACAAGACCTGAAAGAATTTGCTAATACCAGACCTGCTCTTCAAGAAGTTCTGAAAGGAGTGCTCTACCAGGAAAATTAAAGACACATACAGAAATAAGAGAACAAAAGGCAACCAAGAAAATGACCAATGTAATGCTATGGGCAAGAAATATCAATAACAACACTGAATGTTAACTTCCAGGATTTAAATGAAAAGATTGGACCATAGTAACACTGCATATTCAACAGAAGAGAATTTGAACTTAAGACTGAACTGGCAAAATAGAATTTTATGACTTTTCAGTTAAACATTACTGACTTTTTTTTTTTTACTATGCTTTGTTTTCCCAATTTAAGCATTTTACTTTCTTCTGAGTTGTTGATAGGTTCAGCAATTTGTTAAAATATTTTTCTTGTTTGTTTCTGTAAATGGAAACATAAACTTTTCTTCCTCCCTGACCCCTCTGAAATTGGAAGATATTTGGGAGTATTCTTATTTTGTGGCAGAAGGGTTATTTGCATAAGTTCAATAATGTTTGTTGCATTGAATCAGAAATTGGAATACTCATTATTGGACAGGGCTTTGACTGGGATGTCATATCTGAAGATTAATCAGGACACTATGGAACTAAGGTGGATCTCAAGTAAGCCAACAGAGCTCTTAGAAAGATGGCCTGGCACCGTAAATAGTTCTGCCTGGCAGAGACTATTAGAGAAGATATATGAAAGAATTTGTAACATAAAATAACCTGAACTTTTCCAGCCCAGCATTGTAATCAGTAGAGATTGCAAAAGAGCAACCACACCAGAGGATTATCTTGAGAAAGACTTTGAAGGAAGAAAAAGAGACTGATCTTTGCTAGCAGATGGTATATCACAGAATTCTTGGTAGGCAGAGCTAAATTGAGAAAGTTTATGTGTGAATTGTGTGGTGGGTATTTGCTTTTCAACAGTTTGTGGAAAAATGTAAAAATAAAAAATAAAAAAATAATTCCATCATCTTCACATTTTTGTCGCAAAAATATTGCTACAACAAACATTCTTACACATAAATATTTGAGAAATTGTTTCATTTTCATTAAAATAAGCTTTTAGAAGTTGAGTTACTAGTAATAAGGTAAGATTCTTTTTAAGTTTATCAAGTGGTCCTTTGTTGTTGCTTACACTTCTTTATTTTGATGAAAAAGAGACAGAAAGTAACAGAGACAGACATCGCAACATGATTTCCATGCTGTGATCCACCACTGGTCTCAGCCAGCCAGGATCATGGGCATGTAAATACCCAATGTACATATGGAGGGCCTGGGATGCAAATCCAGGACCTTTCCCATGTATGTCCAATTGTGTTACTGCTCTGCCACTACCTGGCCTCAAATGGCACTTTGGATAGTGTTGGCAGTTCATATCCCACAGTATTTTAGGTATTTGACATTCTTTCTAACTCAACACTTTCATCATCCCATAGGTCTTATATCCATTGACAATATCCTCCTTGTTTACAACTCTCCCAGCCCTAAGCAACCACTTTTCTAGTTTCTGATTCTAGATATTTGTCTACTCTAGACATTGTCCGTAAAGAGAATCATACACTATGTGACCTTTTGTAACTGTCTCTCTTATTTTTTTAATCTAACATAATGTTTTCGGGGTTCATACATGTTGTTGTATATGTCAATATCTAATTCTTTTTTATTTTTTTAAGAAGTTTTTGCTCTAGGACATGTGCACTAACCAGAAAGACAGAAAGACAGAGACAGAACGTGAGAAATCACCCCCCAGGGGGGATGGCCATGCCGTAGGGGCTTCTACTCCAGTCTCCTCTCGGGATCTTGGACATGCACACACACACACACACACACACACAGCGTGAGTGAACAGCAGTTGACTGTTGAAGGCAAAACCTCCAGAGTCCAGCAACATAGCCATTACACCAACTGCTGGTCCCAATATCTCATTCTTAATGGATAAATAGTATTCCATGTATGGCTATATCATATTTTG